TTCTTGTTTCAAAAGTCGAGTCAGCTTTTCTGATAAGCCATTATCCTCAACAATCTCTTCTTCTGCTTGAAATATCGGGTGCTCGAAGTCGAAGCGAGTCATAGGAAGTTCATGATCGATGTCGTCTGAAATATGAATCCTGCAATGAGAATAGTTAAATGTTTCAAATAATGCAAATAAAGCACTGTCGTACCTCGAAAAATACGATCCTCGCGATGGACACGGAAAATACGTTCGAAACAGAGTCGCCACCGAACTTTATTCATTCCAAGGATGGAATAGGAAAATATTGATAAAACCTTTAAGGAGATAAGAACATGGTCATCGCAACCACATTCTAGGTTCGGGAGTCGGTTACATGAGGGGAAGGTATTAGCACCCCTCATGTTCGTTGTACTCAACGGGAACCTCTTATTTTATTCGAGAGTAAAGTTAGCTAAACTGTTTGTTTTCTTCTAAGGTTTCTCCTAAAGTGGGAAATGGGTGGTTTTAAGATAGATTGCTCGCCAAGGATTGAGGCCCTTGTGCCTACGTATCTTCACTTGTAAGAAGTGGAAAATCAGAGCATTCGTAGTTCGTGGGACTACGGGAAAAGAGGGGATTGTGCTCGCCAAGATCGTCGCAATCTTGTGCCTACGTATCTTACATTCAAGAGGGAATGAAGAATCAGAGCAGCCGTAGTTCGGCCAAATATGGTAAAAGGTTTGAAATTGAACGAGTGTTTAGGTCGCATTCTAACTGCTAAACGTTGGCTTGTCTGCTCGCTAGGGGAGGCTGAAGCACTAGTTTGTTATGCGCGGAAGAAGGGAATAAACAATGTTCTTTGAGAAAGTATTTAGGTTGGAGATCGCACGAGGGCGAGGAATTTGGTTTATCACATTGATTGTTTTGGTTAGAGGATATATTTGAATAGGTTTGTGGTTTCGATCGCACGGGGATGAGAGATAGGAGTTTGGTTAGGTAATTTGATAGAGAATGACGACTATTCGATAAACGAGACGTCATCCTCGTAATCAATTAATCGGGATATCATTGGAATGCTAGATTCCAACGACACCTTTTTCATTCGAATAGTTACGAAATATGTGTTTGAGACAGTATCAATCGCACGGGGGCGAGAGAAGGGAGTTGGGTTGAATATTTTAAGGGAGAATGACGACTACTCGATAAACGAGACGCCAGTCTCGCAATCGACTAATCGGGATATCATTGGAATGCTAGATCCCAATGATACCTTTTTCACTCAATTAATTATGAAAGTGTATTTGAATGGACAATTAAGGTATTCGTCCCAATAGTTAGGGCACGTGTTTTATAGACGAAAGGTCGAGCAACCCACAACCTAAAGCGTACGCCCCAAGAGTGGTTACTCAAGAATTCGAGGAGTGCGAGACTCCAAGAACTCAATTCTTTCGTAATTTAATCAAGAAAATAGTTTGGATTTGACGTATGGTTTAGAAACATACTAGGGTTTAGACTTGATCACACAAAGGTGAGGAACGAAGTTAGACGGGTTGAAAATTTAGTAGGAAGGACGACTATTCGATAAGCGAGACGTCGGCCTCGTAACCAATTAGTTGGGATATCGTTGGAATGCTAGATCCCAACGACATCTTTTTCATTCCATTAATTATGAAATATGTTTGTTGGACAGTAAATACTTGCCCAAATAATTAAAGGAGGTATATTAGAAACGAAATTTCGAACAACACACCATTCAAGGCGTACGCCTCAATAGTAGTCACTCTTGAATTCGAGGAATGCGCGACTCCAAGAACTCGATTATTTCGTGATTTAATTAAGAAAATAGTTTGAAAATATTAGCGTATTTGGTCTAGAAACGTACTAGGTTTTAGGCGCGCTAGGTATTCTAGAAAATAAGATCGAAAGGATCACAACTCAAAGTGTGCACCTCGAGAGCGGTTGCTTAAAAATTCAAGGAACGCGAGATCCAAGAATTTAATTGTTTTGAAATTTGATTAAGAAAATAGTTTAATTTAATCAAGAAAATAGTTTTAATTTTCATATAGAATAAATTAATCAATAGCTTATAAAAAGATTTTAAGAAAAGCTAATTATAATTAATTGTTTTGAAAAAAAGTTTAATATCTTGAAAAAAAGAAAAAAAAAAGTTTTAATGAAGTATAATTTTCGAAAAGTTTAATATTTAAAATATTAATTTGGTAATAATTTTGAAATGTATTTTTTTAAAGAAAGAATAATTGGAACTTATTATAAAAATATCTAATTAATAAAAATTGTTTAAAAATATCTTTTTTAGAAATTTCAATTAAATTAAATAAAAACAAGTTTTGAAAATCGAAAAATGGAACAACCACAACTCAAGGGCGTGCGCCTCGAGAACAGTTGTTCAAGAGTTTAAGGGGTGCTAGACCCCAAGAACCCACTACTTTCGATAAATTAACTTAAAAAGAAAACATTTTAAAAGGAGATTGAATCAAAAAACTTAAAATTTAATTAAGACTAGAAAATTTTAATATTAACGAAAAGTCAAAAATAATTATTTAATTGATTTGTTTAAAATAAAGTGAAAACAAAAAACGAGCACTCAAGAAAATAATAAATTGAATCTTAATTTGAAAATTGTAATGAAATCAACTTATGTATACTAATCAAATTATTTACAATGCTTGCAAAATTATTATTTTTAATATATAAGAAATATATAAAAATAGAAGTGTAAAAAAAAAGCTAATTAGGCTCAAACTAAAATGCTAGAATCAAGCCCCACAAAATTTAATAACTCAAATAATTAAGAATGATAAATAGTTCATAATAAATATAAACCAAAGCAGTGACTAGAGTATTAAGAACTAACATTCACTTATTTAATGAACAATGCAATACCAAAACAATTTCAACATTATTCTTTATCCGTCCAAAATTTCCATCTCAACTGGATATAGCAGTAGCAGAATGTCATTCATCATCATAAGTATCATCACATACAATACAGTATATACATGTTGCAGTCAAGTTTAAAACCGAAACAAATATCGGTTTGCCTCATGCTTATGATGCTGCTGCAAGTCCCAACAGAATTCATGCGGTGACATAGTGAAATCGAAAAAAAAATGCACATTTACAAAACAGGGACACTGTTACAGTATGCTTTGAGGCGATAAACAATGAAATTCAAACGCCAGACATCGCAATATTAACATAAAGGAACAGAACTCAGCAGCAACATACAAGATGCACATATAAATTAGGAAGTGCTACAAAAACCAAGTCACTGCGGCAGGACAGCCAACCATAACTTTACCAAATTACAAGGCTATAACGACATCGGTACACAAACGGTTGTGCAATAAAATATGCACCACACAAACAATCAAACAACAGGCGAAATCGAAACCTAACATTTACAAATTAAACCACACTGAATAGCAAGAGAATGGAAAGAAACTTGTCCTGTCATAGCAGGCATTCCATGAGGTATAACAACAAATAATAAACTGTGAACATGGAGTCAAACATAACTACAACCTACTAGCAGCTTACTAACAAAACACATTTGTTTTAATAAAACTTTTGAAATCACAACCGACAAAATAGTAGCAACATATTGCAACAAAATAGTAGCGACATACTATAATATCTACACATCTAAAAATCATATTTACCACCATTTAGTTACAGTAAAATGCAGCACAATTAAACCAAATATCACATAGTATTCATTTTTGGATTGCAAGGTATGAGAGAACAACAATTAGAGAAGTCGGAAACAGGGCGAAAGGGATACCGTCGTATTTGTGCGTATAAACCTCGTGCTGCTGTAATAGAAATCGATCAAAATGGAGAATGGAATTTGTTGTTGTAGCGAAATCATTACCGTCGCAGTGTCAGCACCAGAACTCGTTGTTGTCTCAAAACAGGGGAGCTCGTTGGAATCATTATGTTGTTGTGTTGACCCATGGAGAAACGAGTGTCATTGGGGTTGTTGTTATGAGCTGGAAAAGGAACATGGTCTTGTGTGAGGTGTGAGACAGATTTTCATGGTTGTTGTGTGTTTCAGATCCAATGGTTTAAGGTTGAGCGGTGAGCAGTATTGATGATGAAGGTTATTTCTTTCCGGTTGGATTGGAAGTGGTGCATCCAAGGAAGAGAGAATCTCCACGAGAGAAAATAGATTGTACGTTGACACCATGTTTTGGTATCCTGAGGCCTATACCAGACGCTTGACGGAAGTCTAATATGTTGATAGAATCTGATGTGCAGAATACACCATCGTTTCCTTCAGCTTCTGATGAACTTACTCTTTTCCTGACCCCTCCACCAAGCTCTGCATCAGTATTGCTCACATGGAGAGCCGAAATTTTCTTACCACCAAAAGGAACAGAAACCAAAACTTGAGGACTAAGTGAGCTCACATCCCACAAAGAAAGTGATTCAGCTTCAGCTACAACTACTTTCCCTCTATTTCTCCACTGCAAAGAACTAGAATACTCCATAGGAACAACAGGCTTCGAAACCTCCCACCTCATCACTTGTTCTCCGTCGCGAACATCGGAAACTCTCATTCCTCTCTGTGAGGTACAAGTAGAGATAACAAGAGGTCCACAGGGTTTATACCACCATTGACTAGCTTCTGCTGATAAAAGGGTGGACGTAGTAGAATTTCTTCTGATATTATTCGGTAAAGGTAGGAGGGTTGTTCTGGAGAACGATGTTCCACTCTCAAGCTGGAAAGCTTTTACTTCCTTAGTGTAATAATCCCATGAACAAAAGCCTGATTCCATTGTGTTGCCAGCTGATGCAGCAACTACATATCTTCCAGAGAAACCATCTGAACCTTGAGCACGAATTAGCCAGCAAATCTCTCCATAAGCTAGGTGAAACTCCTGGAGGGGGAATATATACAGACTTTTCCTCATAATTGGCCATATCATAATAAGAACAAGAAGCATCATCATGAGCAAGAAGTACAGCTTCCCCTTTAGATGCAAACCAACCAGCCGCAGCAATCTTGCTCCCTATCCCATTAAGCTTAAAATTAAAAGCTTCATCAGTCTCATCACCAACAAACTCTTGATGTATTCTGGCCTAAGTGACTGTCTGCGCAGCATGTCAAATACACGACCAGGGGTACCAACAACAACATGAACTCCATTTGAAAGAATACGTTGGTCCTCACGAACACTGGTCCCTCCCACACAAGCATGCACCTTCACACCTAGATAATCTCCAAGTGCCCGTATAACCTTCTCAATCTGCTGAGCAAGCTCGCGAGTTGGTGCCAAGACCAAGGCCTGGCATTCTGTTACATTGTAGTCAAGTTGCTGCAGAATCCTAGAGCAGAAAGTGGCGGTCTTCCCTGTTCCAGACTGAGCCTGTTGTATAACATCAAGTCCCTTGCAAAATGGAACTATTCCCCGTTGCTGAATAGCTGATGGCTTCTCAAAACCATATGCATAAATGCCTCTGAGAAGATTCTCTTGTAAGCCCATAACATCAAAACTATCATAAACCTCCTCATAAAATGTGTAGAAGTCCTGTCCTTTAGTGGTGAGTAACTCATTCATTTTGGTATTGAATTGCTTAGCATCAAACTGAGAACCCTCTGGTGCAACTCCTGCCATAGCTTGAAGATTCGGAGGTGAAGAAGAAAATGCAGCGGCGTTAGTTGAACGAATTTAGGGTTTTGATGAGGGAGGAGTGTTTCGTGAGTGATTAGGGATTCTAGGGGAAAACGAAAGTGGTGAGGGTTTGATTTGAGTGGTGATGAAAGGTGGAAAACAGAGGGTTTACGAAGGGTTTGGTTGGGTTAGTGACGACAGCGAGCTGGGGATAGGATTGAGGTGATATGAAGGGTTCGGCGGCGAGGGTTTTTGTGACGGAAAAAGATGATAGGTTTTAGGTTTTTTTCGTGATGGGGCGGCCGTTTAGGTCTTTTTTAGGGATCGTGAACAGTAGCTTAGGTTTTTTTTTAAAAGATGAAATGACCCTGTTGCACCCCAAAATTTGCCCAACATTTCTTTACCTAGCTTATGTTTCATTTCATTCACATTAGCATTATCATTTGCATTTCATTGACAGGTATGCAGGAGATCAAGAGGTATGACTACCAATCAAGAGCTACACAAGACTGTGAAGCTAGCTAAGAAGCTTATTCAAGTGTTCAAGGGTTGATATCCTTGTCAGAGAAGTCAAAAGATCCTCAGAGAGAGTGGTTGAAACCAAGAGGGTGTGTCTCCTAACTTGAGAGTTGTGGGAGCTCCTCAGATGATTCTGAAGCCAAGAATGTGGACTTGAAGCCTTGAGAGAGATTATGAGATGTCTTGGAAGCCATCATGAAGCCTAGACAGGTCATTATGCAAGTGTAAGAAGACTCAACCATGAGTGGTGTAATTAGGGTTTGACTAGGTCAACCCTAAGAAGACTCAACCATGAGTGGTGTAATTAAGGCTAGTAAAGAGGTCATGAGATAATGGAAATGCTTGTAGCTCAAAGTTGCAAAAATGACCTAAAATAAGGGTATAAGTTAAATGAATCAAAGTTGGAAATTGATATTTTTGACCTACACATCCAAAACATGGCATGTAATATATCATTTTGACTCTAGAAAACATTTTAAGAACATTGGTTTAGCCACATTTTTGAATTGAAATTCAATTGGTGGACTTGCTTTGAAAAGTAGTTACTTGCATATTAAGTAACATTTGCAAAACCTAGAATCAAGGCATAACCAAGGCCCTTTGCAAGCTAAACACTTTCAAAATGTCACTAGAGGAGAAATTGGAAGAGAATGGGGTTGGTTTCAAGCTGCAAACAGAATTATGCATACCATGGCATATGGTTGAAAATCTCATGACATGAGAGATTGAAACTCTCATTAGAAGGATCTAGAGGGTTCTAGATCATCCATACATCATCTATATATTGAGTAGAGGTGATCCAATGCAGAGGTTGGTGATGATTGAAGGAGAGAGCATAGATTGAGATTGAAATTGCATAGCTTCAAACTGAATTCGGTTTCACCAATTTCTCCGCTTTTCATCCATTTTATTGATTGCAATTTCTTCCATGGATGCTAGGGATTGAATCCAGATCATAATCCAAGAGAATTTGTGGCTGAATCGTGTATGAGCAATTGAATTTTTCCACCTGCAACTCACCATCGGGTTTCAAGATTCAAGAGCTTTCAACCAGTTCTATTGCATACAGAAGCAAGGAAAGGATCCATTGATCGTGTCTGGAAGGTTGGAGAGCTTGATTTGAAGGTTTAGTGCATCTGTTCATCCAAGATTTTTAGGTTAGTAACTTTCTTCCTCCAGCATGAATTAGGTAGAATCAAGATTAATTAAGGTGTTAGATGCATTGTAGAACGGTGTAGGAAGGTTTTCAGATAGTTAATTTGAGAATTAGTGACCAATCTAGGGTGTTACCATTTTCGGTTGAGAATTGGTTATGGTGAATCTTGAGGTTTCAGAGAGAACTAAAGGCATGAATGAATTCGTGAGGGAATTTGGGACATGTTTCATTAAGGGATCGTGGCCTATGATGGACTCTATGTTGAACTAGGGTTGTGGAATGGTGACCGGAGCACCACCGGTGGTGGCGGGAGCTGCGCGCGAAGTTTAGAGGTTCAAAAGGTAGAAGATGACTCTTGAGCCATTGGATGTGGTGAGACCTTTGACTGAATGAGTGATCCAACGGCCACGTTTTAATTCCAAGTTGTGAAGGATATGATTTAATGAAACGCATCGTTTCATTTAGTAGCTAATGCGGGGCTTAGTGAAATAACTGATATCCACACCCCCCTCATGGCCCAACCCATAGAATGAACTGATGGTCATTGCTATTTGCACCACGCGTGTGTTTATTTTATTTTGATTTTCATTATTTTTTTCATTTTGTTCATGGTTCTTGAAAAAATCATATAAAATTGAAAATTAATCCAATTGATCCCATTCTTTTTGAATTATACTCATGATTGAGTCTAGTATTTGTTAGCAAAAAAATATTTTCATTCCATGCATTTTCTGATTTTATGGTAATTTTACATTTTAATTGATATTAAAATGGTTATGTTTGATACTTAATTTTGTGTGATCATGTGGTGATGATTTTGATCCTAATTTTTTGTGTGTGATTAGTTCGACATGTATGCTCCCATAGTATTTTTCTCACATTTTTGTGATGAAAATAGGTGTGTTTTCTAGATTGAGATTTAGGTGCTTCCTTTTAGGGTTTAGGTTTAGTACCTTATAGTGTAGAATTTATTTCTAGGTCTTATTTGATGATTTGATCTCTGGAATTAATATGGTAGAGTCATGATTGACCTAGGTTCCCATAGTTATTTTTGTAGGATTTTACAATTGGTTTTAGTATTTTAGTTAGGATTAACTTTAGTACTAGGTTTTAGGTGATCCTAACTTACTAACTCTAATAGATTAACTTCTTTAATCCCCTTAGATTAGGGTTTTGCTTTGTTTGCCTTTGGTTGAGATTGAAGACAAGTTGAAGACAAGGTGAGGATGCTTTAAGTTGCTTGAAGTTGCTTGGAGCTTGGGATTGTTTGTGCCTGAAGGTGTCTGATGAAGATTTAGGAGGTAGGAGCCATAGGGAGAGCCTTATAATTAGAATGATTTCTTTCACAAATATGGAAAGCATCTTGTGCTTCCTTCCCTCCCAATGAATAAAAGTCCTTCCAAGATAATCACATCCCTCCTTTGGAGGGATGAGTGGCTTTATCTGGGAAGTAGAACTTTGAGGGAACCAGTCTCTCATAATGATGAACCCTTACAGGCTTCCTTTGGTTGTCAATAAGCTGTCTATCATTTCCACTCATTCTGTTAAATCAATTGTCTCCTGGTTTGAGTATCTTGAAGGATGTTAGACTTGAGTTTGAAGATGAGGACTTCACTGAAGAGTGTGGAAGAGGATGATTCCTTGAGCATTGCCATTGCAGCTGAAGCTTGAAGAGCAAGAAGAACAAGTTGACACTTGAGGATCCAATTGAGATTGAGTGAAGAGCTGAAGCTTAAAGAATTGAATGATGAAGTTGACACTTCCATGTGATTGAAGATTACTCTGAGAAGCTGAAGCTTGTAGGAGAAGAAGACCAAGTTGATACTGGTAAAGCAAGGAGAGCTGAAGCTTGAAGACTAAGTTGACATTTAGGAAGAGGATTCAATTGAGATTGAGTGTAGAGCTGAGGCTTGAGGAATAAAGGATGAGTTGATACTTACACTGATGCATTGAGAGCCTGAAGGAATCAAGTTGATACTTGTAGTTAAGAGTGAAGCCTGAAGGTGGAATTGACTGAAGAGCTGAAGCTTGGAGAGGAGAGAATAAGTTGATACTTAGGTTGGATGGATTAAAACCTTGGAGGAGCAAGTTGATACTTGTCATGGAGGATAGCCTTGAAGGGTGGTTGAAGTCTGAAGACTGGATTGCTGTTAGAAGAGCTGAAGCTTGGAATTGATAGAGGGAGTTGTTGATCTGCTTTCTTGTCTGTTTTCTTTTCTGTGCTGATGTGCCTTGTTTGACTTGCTTGATGCATTAGAATAAGTTCATATCTAGAATGACTTTAATCTAGGAGCATGATTGCACTAGAGGTTGAGTTGCTCCCTCTGCTTGTATTGTTACTGTATGGCTTTGCTTGCGGGTATTCGGTAGAGCCCAACTCCCTTGCCCATGTGGTTAGTTTGCTTGACAGCATGTTATTTCCTCTGTATGATTGCAGTTTTTTATTGTATTTTGCTTGATAGCATGTTATTTCTTCTGTATGATTACAGTTATTCATATCTGGCTTGAGGTTGAGATGAGCTTGTGGAGGCTGCTGCCCCACACACATTTCCTCCCTCACTTGCATGGCATGCATTTTACAGTCGTTTACTGTTTACTGTTTACTGTTTAAGCTGATGCTTTATCTGTTTCTGTTTATCATTGACATGATCCCCTAGGAATCTCACTTCCTTTGATAAGGAAGTGATGATAGAACTTTAGGTTGAAACCTATGCATGATAACTTCTAGGAGTTCCCTGTTTCAAACCTCAACTATAGGATGAATCCTTGGCATGACAACAGTAGGACTTGATAGTCTCCCTTTAGTTGAGCCTGTTCTGTTCTCATCTCAAAACAGCTTAAGATACAGTAATCATGAATGATTTCTTTCGTACGTTACGAGCCTTAAGCTATCTGAGAAAGGATTGTTGGAGAGCTTCTTTTCAACAGTCTGGATGTTTAGTATGGCACCCTTTGGGTGACATGCGACGCATTCACTCTCAGGTCATAGTCTTTAGTGTGATTGAAATCGCAAACACAATAAAAAAACAGTTCTTCCGTAAAAGACAGAAAACAAACTTCAAACCTTTTTGCCCTGTGGGCCCATAATTCAAAGGAAATCTTTTCTGAAGAAAAGAGTGTCGTTAAACTTCAGCGCCACCGCAAACAGGCTTTGTCCCTAACTGCTGGAACTGCTGTTTAACCTTACTCGATAAAACAGATGAATTTGAATCCCCGTAATCCGTATTATCCCGAACTACGTAAGCTCTGATCTCTCATACCTGTTGAGAGTACGTAGGCACAATACTGATGTATTGGCGAGCCACCTTCCCTCGTAACCCGTAGTAGG